TAATGTATAGAATTGCCATGTGACACGATCAAACAGTCGTTACAGGTATGTGTGTTTTATTAGTTATGAATGTGCTTTACATAGACAATGAAAGATTATTCCCACGTCAGCAATAGTGTTTTCAAATGGTGTTCAACGTACATGCCGTTCGCTTTGAGGGGGTCAACTTTCGGTAAGGACCCAAAGTAAAGTCAAAAAAGTGACTGTGAAATAAAACGTAGATGAATACTGCAGGGGTACGGTTATTGCGATGAGTAAAGTAAGTATCTAACTTGGTTGAATACCTTTCATACTACGGGCATACTGATTTCAGCTGTACGTCTTATTTAAGTCATTGTCCAAAGTCTTATGTACGTGTTCCATGTCGTTTTGCAATTGTCCTTAAAGTGAATAGGCCACTGTTATTATTTGCTACGTTGACATTTAGTGACGCTGTACTGCCCGATGCTTTAGTTAGCTAGGGCGCTAGAGACAAACGAAGATAGGGCCTTCACAAGATAAGCTTGCCTAGTCATTTATATATATATATATATATAAGAAAGCACAACAACAGCGAGAACACCTAGCTTGCAGTAGAAAAAAAAGTTATTTTATCGTAGAAGATCATACATGAACGATATCTAGTAATTTAGTAAATTTAAAATGATTACATTGACATTGTCTATTGCCTTGAGTGTTACCGTGGCCAATTCAATTCTATGCGAAGCAAGCAACAAAAAACGTTCGACAGTTGTGTTGAAACAGCAAATTTAAGTAAGTATAAAAAGCCAAGAGGGTGCGGACAAAGTACTAGTTCACTTACTTCCCAGGCTCACACCTAACTTAGAATTGTGTAATAAAAAAAAAATACCCCTACTCAGATACAACGTCCGACTGGGGGGTGTCGATACAAAGAAACCCCATTTCGAAACTATATGTACTTCACTGTACGACGCATGATGACCTAGAACTCACTACCGACATCGGTCAACAATGTGGCCTTGATCATAGTCAACACAGAATATATATTAGGGCTGGCCATTATTCGTCCTTTGGTAAGGCAATTCAGGCAAAAGTTGAAATTAATACAAAAAATTCTACGTTGTTGAGTATGAATCTACTGATTACTGAAGACGTGTCTGAATTCAACGTGAAGATCTGGATGCGTAAAAATCAGAGCGGGTGAGGTGTCATTTCTAGTGGAGGAACTAATCGTGATAAAGTCCTCGTGATGCAAGACGTCGTCCCATCTGCTGGTCCTCCAATTCAATTCGTTTGAGTCGTGTATTGATAGTCGTTTTAGCCCAAAATGGGTTGCATCGAGATGACTGACAAATCGCCTAATGATTAAGGCAATGGCAACAACGTATATAACTCTGATGCTCAAGGTGAACTCGAGAGGTAATCGTTTGCCGACAGAATTTGACACTACAGTTTGATCAACAGCCACGCAGATGGCAAGACGACATCAACAAATATCATTGCCTAACTTCAATTTGAACTTCAGTTTTAATATTATATGCGCTATCCTTTGGGCGTCCGTCGAACCGGTACTCGTCTGCCCCGACATTAGTTTTTTTTTCGATATTTATCATATACGGATAAGCATTTACTTCACTTTCCTCACTGATAGATGCACAGTGATTAAGTAGTGGAAAATCAATAATGGTGGAAAAAGCCACGCCGGCCAATGTCAGCTTCTTTAGATTATCATCTGACCTTTATTATTTCGAAATAAATCCGTTACAAAATCAACACCGTAGCCATACAGGTCGCAATAATGTCATCGATGTATTAATGCACGCAACGATCAATCATATTCCGTGTTTTAACGCCCCACGTACTGCCGTTAAGCGTCGCTTCAGATGGCTGGGCCCACCCAGCTTGAAACTTCATTGTAAAATACAGAATAGTCGGAGTAATAATAATGGACGGCGTACTTATACAGCTACTAAAGTTAAATGACATTGGAACAAAATGAACTTGAGCTTGCTTTTTGACCGGCCTAGCCGCCATCAACTGGTCGTAGTCGTCCGGTCGAATCTCGTCTGAAACAATTCTTCGACCTGCGCTACTTTGAAAAAAATTCAACAACATAATGGAATTTTTAGTAGGGATATATCTGTAACAAAAAAGACTCAGAATCGAATTGGTCTGAAACAAATAAATGTATAATTGTCTCATATTATATTTCTTGTCTAAGTAGTGTAGGTTTTTACCATTGGACCCACGGTAACTTTTTTAAATCTCAACATAAAATCAGCTCGGATTAGGTATCCTGGCTAATGACGCCCAGAATGAATCAACTACATCGATCTGTAATTTTTTTTTGATCGATCGAGTTTGCCTTTATGGTCTTGAAATTTTCGGTTAGAAAAGGAGTAGTTCGGCACATGCGTATCATTCAAATCTCCCGCCAAAAGTGTTTTTCGATAATTTTTTTATACCTAAGACGTAACTCAATCGAATAAACAAATTGCTAAACGAGATATATGGAAGCAGTTTAGTAAAACTTTGTGAAAATCGCAGCGGATCTATTGAAATATAAATCTGTATAAAGATACGTCAGCTCATTGCCTGTTAAATATCCACAACTAAGTCGTCAGATACCTAATTACCAACAACAGATAGATATTAAGGTAAATTACAGGTGTGATGCCTAAGTAATAATTTCAAGGGGCTAAATTAGGTTCAGAATAATACAGCTGTAAGGCATTGGTTCTAGTATGAATTGTGTTTTTTACATTTCCCAACATCGAAAAATATGCGTCGTATTGAGAGGCGGTCCGAAGTTTAGTGGTGATACGTGAAATATCACAATCAGCTGAAAATGCCACAATTCCCCTTTATTTTTATGTCGGCAGATTCAGCCGCCTTAAACCTGAAAATTTTCCATTTTGCAACAACGATTGCTATAGTACTTTCCTAATGCCGTGTGCGTACCTGCATGACGCTGTTGGTTTTTGAAATGGATAGATGACAACTTCTCAATTCAGCGAATTCAGCTATATTCTTCGACGAAACCTGGAAGTATTGTTTATTTGACAACTCTTTTTTTTTGCATAATAATAATAATAATAATACGAAACAATTCCAGACGATGGCCAGCGAAATCTATTACGGACTCATTTAGTTAATTCCTTCCTCGCCTCTTCAGGACTTTTCACAGGCTCAAATGGATTCAGTTCAATCTGTGCTTTTGTTCAATAAATAACGACATGATGAGTCGTCTATGAGTCTATATTCGTCAATATAAAGATAGTTCGACAACTGATTTTATCATTTTCTTTATATAAATTTACGAAGCTGGATCGTTTACTGCTAAGGCTTCTCTGTACAAGGTCGTCTTGTCTTACATTGTACAGTAAGCTAAAATGTCGTTGTCTACATTGCCCCAATAGGTTATCGTTCATCTTCTATAGTGTTCAGTTTAATTTATTCTAAGGAACGGACGCCACATAATGGTAGTAAGTTTTATAGAGATTTCATAAATATGTTATGTTTGGATTTACAAATGTTTCCAGTGACTCTATTCTGATTACCGCTTAGTTCTAGCGGACTTCATCGCTTTATCCTAATTGTCGAGGCCTATATTTGAGGTCTATGTTAAATTTATAGTTGAATTGCAGAATGATGGGGGAGTACACGATACCATGCCCGCGAAGAAAGTTACCGTCGTTGAGTACGGGAAAACGAACGCATCGAAGATCGTCATTTCGTCTCTCGTCAAAATACAACACTCGTTTTAATCCAACCACGAAGCTTCCTCGGACGTTGTGATCGAATAGGTTGGCCGTGTCACTGCTATCGATGAGGCTTAGATATTGAATCCGTATTCTTTTTATTGATTCCATAATATTGGGCTTATCGGCCACGCGGGGTCTGCGTCTTTGGTGATCTTCGTAGATAATTTTAAAGGGCGTGTCAGTACAACCCTGGGCACTATCGATGAACAGGGTCCTCGCAAAGGAGACTGCAGCTGTTTCAACTGTCCAATATATCAGCACCGGACATCAGGGAATCATCTGCTGCTCTTCTATGCGCAATCATAATACTAATGCTCATGAAGAACGCCTTAACTATTTCAAAGCAGATATGCATAGCGGAACGTAAGAGGAACAAAATCGCCTTCTTATACGAGTCATTGACATTGAAAGAGCATTTAGCGGGCTGGTATCCTGTCGTCAAAGTCCTGCACTGTATCGAGAGTGCCCAATTGCGCAAACAGACTTAACAAAAAGGTGCCATACAATCCGCATTGGGCTAAAGTAACCGAATAATGCATCGGATCATGACCTTACCACAATACCGACAACAGGTCCTGCGCAACAAAACAAATGCCATGACCGTAAGCACGGCCACGATTACGATTCGAGTTCAGTATAAAGACGTCGCCAAGTTTTGCTTCATACTGGGCGATAGAACGAATACATACGACTAACTACATAAATACATCTACTGCGATACATCAATCACATAAAAGCGTGCTCGCCAATAGGAAGATAAAAAGACGAATATCCAATCGTGCGGTGGCTATATTTAAGCAGTTATTGGTAACGGGCAAAAGTGGGCCTTTTCTTTATCGGGGACGCCCGTGGTGATAACAACGTGGCTGACGCCGATTTGATGTTTACTTCGAAGATCCGCCGGAACCAAATTGTTAAACGTAACTTTGGAATTTCCCATAGCTTGTTGCGGCTGGGCAGAAAGAAGCGTATGAAACAGCACTATCTGTAAACATTCACTGGAATTGTAATGACGTGGGGCCGTCCGCGTCAACTTCGATACCCACCAATATCAGTTTACTTCGTTTATATTTATGCATTGTTTCCCATTTATTTGGGCCGTTAGCACCGCACAAGTCAAGAATTACCTAAGGAGGTGCTGCATCCACGAGGCATTTGATTTCTTTCGCAGCCCGTTTCGGTGTCTCAGAAAAGGGGCAGCAAAATATGGACGCCGAAAGCTTTCTACAAGTCCTTCGCCATGTCGAAGCTTGTCCGTGGGTTGAATATCAATAAGGCTGCGTAGACGCTTTTCTCATGGCGCTCAAACAATATTTGTCGACTGCGAGCATCTGCAACGCATTTTCTACCCTCGGCTCCACTTGGTACGATACTGAGTCTGGGCAGAGTTTTTTTTCTCGTAACGGCTAACAGCTGAAATACTCAGTCGATAACACATTGCCTGATGAACGTCGCGCGTTCCTTTTTGGCTGGGTAGAGGGGCGGAAATTATAGCAAAAATTATATGCGTGCGCGAAAATAGACGTTCCTACGTAATATTGCATGGGCTCTGTTCCGCACAGGTTTGCGCTAGGGGTCGGGTTGGAAGTAACGCGAAAGAGATATATTCAGAGGCTGAAGTCCGTACATAAAGAAAGGCAATTTTGTACGTTTAATCTTCCAAAAGTGAAAATTAGAGACGCTGCTGTATCAGCAAATTAGGCAATTAAAAACACGTAGAATGATGGTTTTAAATACTGCTTTAGAAACATTGCCGCTAATATACGCGAAGGACTGAGCGCATAGTGCAGATAAGGCCATATAACAGGAAAAATTAAAGTCAAGATAGAAATATAGCCTGCTATAACATTAATTATTAAACGCATTCAAAAATAATTTATGCCGTTTGTATAGCGATGCCGAAGTGCCGTCTCCGACACTTCGACGTTGCTATCAGCATACGTTTCGACATACAGCATACGTTTTTATATAATTAAAGAAATTACGCTGATATAATCATCGGCCTGCGGTATGGGGCAGGCAGTCGTACCGGGCATGTAGGACAAGGAGGTTTCAGTTTCGAATCTTATTGGTTGGTGCAAATTGCCGTAGTGTTGTGTTCGTTTTTACAGATTTGTTCACAAAACAAATTATCATTATGCTTTCATGTAACTGTACAGAATGCTATGCCTTTTGTGAGTTCTTCAGCTTTACATAATATCCATACTTCTTCGGTATTCAAAGCCTGTTAGAAGGAACAGCCAGAAAAAAGAACCCTCGTATGATAGGGCACTGTAAAAACTTCTTGGACAAAGGCTAGATGGCAACCGCTTTGGCTAATATGCCCATGCACTCCTTATTGAGGAAGTATGCCAATAAATGTTTGCTTTGATTACCTACCGGAATGACAAAGACATCTAACGAGACCGACTGTTTGCTGTCATATCTCGAATCCTAAACACAGCACTAAAACGAAAACACTCTTACGCCTTGAGTATTAATGTCGCTCATTTTTTCCTGGCAAATATAGCAATCGCTTAGTAGAAAGAACTGCTTTCACAGTAAATAAAAAAAAGTTTGTAAAGAACATGTAACATGCAAGCTGCATAGACATGTTGCATGTAACATGTAAGGAAGATGCTACTTCAAAACCGCTCGCGAGGGTTAGCAATTTAACAATATGTATTATTTCAGCGTATAGCCCAGTGGAAAGCCCTTTAGGAAAAGAAAAACTCTTGTTTAAATGAATGCACTTACAAACATTTAACAAGTAATATAACTTGTTAAATGCAGCATTTACTTTACATAATAAAAGTTATTGAAAGATATCATTTTGTACATGTACGTTTAATTGACTAGGTATAAGGGTACGCGAACTAACTTTGTTAAGGCTACATTGGCTGGAACGGCATCCGGAAAACATAAATAAAGGTGACAGTTAACCTAGGATTGAAATAAAAGATATACACTCTGTTTTATTTCAAGAACTTGCTTTGAAAATTGAAAGAAAACATTGTAAGTAGCTCAAAGAGTTGTTTAACGGATGGGTGTATATATATATATATATATATATATATATATATATATATACATCCTTCTAAATATGACAGTAATAATTTAATCTGGAATAATTTAGAAAGAAAATTTGTCATGCGAAACGGAAATATATTTCTGAAAATTTGTTCGCTTGAAATTTTCTCATTTTAATACAGCAGTTTCGCTGCACTTTGCTTCTCGTTCGTGAGCTCCGGTCGAGGTCATCGTATATATTACTTTCAATACCTGGACAATAGGTGTATATATTAACACTAACGCAACGACTTCACGCGACAGTAAGTGTTTTTCTTATGCCATCACATCAAACCGCGTTCAGCACCCTATTTAACAGCAATATGATAAAGTAATTAACACCCATAATTCTACAGGTTGAATGATGTGGACCTAGACGTATGCTACGGAACCTTAAAAGACATTCATTTTATTTTCGGAGTGCCGCAGTTGTTCAGCGCCATTTAATATCTCTCTTATACTATCCGACATTTTACCAGGTTCTTTATAGAGCCACACGTAAAGCGCGCATCGTTGCACCTTCTCGCTTGAACCACAAGCCGCTCAAGCAAGCATGCATTTGTCCACTGAGCCTTAAAAAGCACCATATCCTAGATGATGTTCGAGGGTTTGCGAGAGTGTCACGACCACCCCCTCATGTAATCAGATCGAATTTAACATAGATGTCAGCGCCACTCTTGGCCATTGCTATTACTTGGGCAGCTCAGGGACACGGAGCGCGATTAGACTCAGTTGACTTTCAAGGGGCTTTCTACTGTGATGGCGCTTCGACGTAGTGGGCTTGTTTGCTTGACACGCGCATGCGCGTTAGCTTTATTCCACCGTATATCCTGACCCTTTACCAATACTGTCCCTTTCCTACTCTGCTAAAAATTTTTGAGAACACGCACATCCTAAGGGGGATGGTTGGGAGGAGAGCAGGTAGAGGAAATGGAACGAAAGGCCCTAGACTCATGACCTGACAGGCGAACCTGCGATAACGCCACCGCTATCGGCTTTAGAGGCCAGCGCGGTCCGAGGTCTATTGTCTTGATCTACTACCGCTACCACCTTCCACTAGAGTTACACCCAGGTTATGTACGTGTCGAAAGGGATTATGTGTATCAAGCGTCTGAGGGAAAATGCGTGTTTGAGTGCTAGTTGAAGCTGTTCAAGGTGTATGTTCCGTATACTTCGCATCCTGCCGGACCTAACCTAGTTTGTTGGCATGTTTGGCAGCCAAATTGGAGAAAGGCTAAGGTTTCCTCGGTAACTGCATTCGGTGGTAACTGTGATGTCGTTCGTAAATCGTCACCCTTTACGGGCACCTCCGTCCTGCCTTCAGACGTTCCCTTGTTCCCTTTTGACTGATCTTAGACTGGGCAAGATAGAGGCTTCGTGTCTGTGTTTTTGCTTTGTCTCTCCGTTATCGCTCGTTCATTAGAAATGCTGCTAGACGAACCAAAAGAAATGCCTCAAAACGAGCATCGCCAACAGTATGGCAATCCACACAGACTGTACAAGCTCGAATTTTAAAGGAATGGCAGAATAAACAAAACGGTGCACTACCAAGTGGAACAGCATCTGTAGCAGTCGGACGCAACGAGTGGAGAACGACGTTCGAAACCTTGATATTCCCATCACTATGTTGAGGCTGTAATAGGTTTTGTTAACTGTGAACGTTCGTGTGACACCAAATGCGAATGTACAATCGGGTGCAGCCACGAGGAGAGGGAGAATATTTGAGGTCGTCAGACGGCCACGCCAGGGTCATTGGTGCTGCCGCCAGCACGAACAACAGCGGAAGCACAAGAAATAGCAATAGCAGTCAATATAAACTATGCTATGCGTCATGGCCTCAGACAGGCCCCTGAAGCCTGCTGAATATCTTTTTCCAAGGGCTTTGCCAAGTCTCTCTAAGCTTTGGTAATAGTTGCGATAGCCGCCAATCTAACAGAACAAGTAGGTAAATCCTGATCATGTCTTCGCGCGCGCGTGTAGGCGTCGCATACGTAATCACCACATTATACGAAGAGAGTTTCCGTTCAGTATTGACAGTGCGCGGTTAACAAGTAAGACATAGATGAGGCAGGCGGGAAGCAGGCTCAAGGCAAGATGAACGTGTCCGTTCGGCAAAGCGCTTGTCGAATACCCTCGTCACGTCAGAGCCAGTGGTCCTGGATAATCTATGCGAATATCAAGAGATAATGTTCGATGTCCAGCAATAACTGAGGTCACCGAGTTCGGATATTGATGCAAAAATCTGTGGGTCAGTTGGAGAAAAACGCAACCGGCGGAGAGACTGCTAAGCAGGTGTTTCGCTTCCGATGTCCTGTGTGAGCAACGACGATTACGTTGATGAAATTATTTAATAGTTGACAGTAGCTAGTAGTGTTCGCCAACGGTGCTAGCGACATTAATGATAGCAACTGTTATTACGATAAATCAACAGTGCAAACCAATCGCAAGCTATAGAAAATTTCGCGCTGCACCTATACACAGTGGCGCATAATGTACATGCATTGTCAAACAGTGACTCCTCAACAAAGGAGTTGGGTAGTTCTCACTGGTAAATGGTGCTCATTATTAATGGTGACGGTAATGCTATCCTTATGGTATAAAAGGACACTCAATAAGGAGAGCAGGAAACCTCTTAAAAACTAGAGCGAATTAAATATTAACCATAGAACGCTTATGTTAAGTTGAATATAAAACCCGAAATCATCCGGATCCTCACCAGATATCAAGGTCTATCACAGAAAAAGCTAAAGGGAAGGTACGTACGTACGTATTGGCAAACTGTATAGAGAGACGACAAAATAGATGCATGGGTCTTGTGAGAGACTGCCTCATGTATGAAGTGAGTGCAGCCGCATAAACACTGGCGACTGTAGAAAGCCTCTTTTGACTTGTTCCCCTGTAAGTTAACTAATTTACCATCGACGCTACCTTTCTTTTTTGAGGGAACTTCATAATATTGACATGACTACATAACTTACGAAACAAAGCTCACAGTGTCAGAAGCGCTATCTATGACTGCTCTTCGCAGAACAACTCAATTGAAGATATATAGTTTTTAACCTCAGGTAGATATGTGGCCCTTGTGCAAGAGGACAACGCTGATGATTACCATACAACTCACTCACATTGTCCAGTCTCATACTACGCTTATTTGATTTTTCCTCATAGACATAGGCAACGTGCGATGTACCGCATCTGTATTGCTTACTAATACAAGGTAGCATACATTTGTTTCCTTCACATGCATCTTATGTATCTGGTGATCTAGTCGAATAAATATTACGAGTACGAGTTCAATTAAGCGCTTGATAATGGTGACACTTTGTGTGTAGTCAATATCATTACTTCCAGTATAATTACCGATATTATCGATACTTATCGTATCGATCTTCAGATAAGTCGTAAAGTGGCACCCTTGTTCCCAATGAGTACGTGTTCTCCGTATCGCGAACATTTATATATTCGATTTTAGCAAAAGCTTATGGTATTCGTTACATAACAGAACCGCTACATGCAAGTCTGTAAATTCAATGCACCTTCTCCATATGAATGACCTCGACCTGCATCTCCAGCAGTTACATAAAGATGATGGAATCTACTATCTCTAGACATTGATTTGGTAAGTTACGGCTGAACCAGAGCGATAAAGCGTTACGGCGGTAGGAAAAACTAGTACTGTGTGTCCTATGAATCATTGCGGCTACTGCCGCTTATCAGTGCCCTTAGGTGCAAAACTGACATTTTTGTTAATGATTGAGTGAGCAAATTCTAGCTGGCGCCATGCTAACCATGTCTTTCGATTTCAACACGTAGCGCACGCACAGCCCTCGTGGCTGTTTATTTCTCCAATTCGCCCCTAACTTCGCACGGTCCTGTTCGTGGTCCTTAGAAAGAAAACTTGAGGTTTGTCACAGTTAAATGCCATATTCGATTTATCAAACGTGACCATTGTATCACTTATAGTAACGACACTACAACGGCCCTGGTAAATATTGCTCATCTTTAATTTCATAGTATTTCGTTGTACAGCCTTCTGTCATCTGCTAAGTTATTTTTGTAGGATGCATTCAAAGAATATGTATTTAAAATACAAAAGACGAATTGATTATTAATAGTAGCTGATGATTTCGGCTGAAATAGGTTTAACCGTCGGGGTTGAACTTCGTAATCAGCTCCTACAAAACAGATTTTGCCCGTACATAGAAGTATTACCGGAAGTTCCGTTAAAAAAAATCTATCTCGAATAGGATACGTTACGGTCAGATGGTATTGTAATTCGAAGACAGCGATCACTAGAAAAGAAATAGGTAAATTAATTAAGACAACTTTAAACAGATCCAATTTTAAGGACAATTTGTTTAGCACTCTCGATCAGCATGTGAAAATTACTACGATCTTTCCCAGCTTTAATTCGGGTTCGTTAGTGTTCATACGCAAACGAGACCGACTTTAAAATCCGTTTCTTCCCTGTAAAGAGAAATTAAGGAGTTCTTAAAAGGGCCTTAAGTTTGTTTTCCATACCTCAAACATCTGGTTTGGCACGTTTTTCAGGGCAAAAAACCTTAAACGGTAAAGCTTAGAGCAAAGGTCGGAAGATATGACGGTGCTTATTTAATGTTCGTGAAAAAGTTTTAATCTTTTTTCATTTTTTTTTTTACTGACTACCTAACTCAGTACCTATAGCATATATATACAGCAATATAGCGTGACGACCGAGCTCGTCGATCCTCGTGTTAAGAAACGTCGACCAAGAGCTGTTAAGTTCCCTCAGACTCTAACAAAGCAGACGAAGGCACCATTCGAACGGAACGTTTTGGCAAAACGGCTTGTGGCTCCATGGCAGGAATTTCAATCCAAAGTTCCCTCCAAACGAGAATGTTGTTGGAGAGTTCCAAATATTTCGAAATATTGCGCAGGAATAGATCATTGCGGGAGTCGTAGAGGGATCGTAGAATTTTGTGATACCTAGAAGATAACTAGTAGGAATTGGTGACTCTGTTGGACACGTTGCACAGGACCAAATACTTCGTAAGCAAAAACCAGTGTACTAGATGAGAAGGACGGCAGGTTGCGGATGATATTGAAGTAGTAGCGACGTAGAAACAGAATGAAAGGACTCCTTTTTCGTTGACATATAACAGCTGAAGCAACCGAATAATCCGAATACGATCAGCTGGTCATTCCATACCTGCTTGCCATCAAAAACATACATTGACAAAAAAAAAAAACGCTATATTAATATATAGAACAATAAAACTTTCATCTATATCGCATAATAGTCGGCATGCAAGAAAGCCACAAGCTAAATATGATCAAAAGGAAGCAAAAAGATCATCGTGTAATCAGTATACGATCCTTAAAGGAGTAACTGCATAAAGGCGCAATGCCCTAAATTTTATTGAGAGTGCAAATTTTTAGTGCTACTAACAATTTCTCATGTCGGGACAATATACTGACGTACTTGCGTAGGCTATTACCATTCATTATCTAACTATATAAACTACTACTAACTATATAAGCTAGTATCATTAACTATATAAACTAATACCTACATCTTTTTTTTCTACTATAATTTCTTAGCAAAACGATTCTCCAGTTTGCGTGAAAGATCCCGTCACAGTCTGCGACTTTGCTGTCGACTCAGGGCTTGCGTTCCTACCTTTGTTTTAAGCCTTCGACTTTGACGGGATACAGTGGATTTGCCTTTTGTGCCACCCAACAAGCGTCGATGAATTCTACTGCATTTGTTATAACTTAAATAAGTTACATGTAAAACCATTTAGCTTCGCTAGATTGCGCATATTAACTAGTTGTTATAGTGGCTTGGATAAGTGACTAAATTGAGCCTAATAGAATAAAATGCACTGAAAAAAGGCAAGTTTATAACACATTTACAGATTACGTCACTATTTTTCTGAAAAGTTTTTTTTTTCACGCTTTTAACGGAGTAGCGTGAATTCCCAGTAAGTTGTAATGAGTTCGAACGAAACAGATTATGCCCTCTTTTATGGATAAGATTATGCTGAGTCGAGGGCTATATTCGCATATGAAATCAAGTACGTCCTAGAAAGTTATTATGACTAAAACACACGACAGTATGCTCAGCTCAATCCAAATGAGTTTCATTATATTTCGATTCCGTGACACAAACAATGTCTATTGCGCAGGTGGGCCATGTCTACGTATTTAGTTTTAAGAATACGCTGAAAAGTCTGTTGGATGACGCATCACATTGGCAATAATAGATCCAATGTATACCATAGATACTTAACCCTTATTCATGCAAAAATAATGCTATGGACTCCTGTTATCACTCAACTGGCGTGTTTTGCAGAAGCGCTGCTTACACACCGTAGATGTCAAAGCATCAAGAGGTGAACCTGCCCTCTTGTTTTGTTCCGGAAAAGGTTTCTGACGGTCCTACGATCGTTTTGAGAAAATTACAGTTAATCGGAGTCCCTTACAGTGTTTCCGTTCCGAAAACATCGAACAACTTTAAAATACCTGGGAGCGTGAAATGTTGGTGCTTCACTGCGCGCCCCTTGACGAAGGGTAGCGTTCGAAGTTGCTACAAAGTAAACTAGACAGATTCGATGTCAGCAAGCCCCTAGGACTCACCGACTGCCTGCCGGTGCTTTGCCTGGGAGGGGGTAAGATGCAAGCCTCCCAACTTACGGGACGCATGAAAATAGATTTCGATAAAGCGGTTTTACCTTTCACACAAAGCTGGAGAATTCGGGGCACGGTCGATGGTGGGCGCAATGGGCAGTTCACTGCTTGTACGATGCGCCCAGTAATAGTAAGAATAAGAGCGGAATATAGTGCAAGCAATCGGTCCACTTCTCAAACAGTGGAGGTAGCCATTCTGACGTTTATGTTGCGTCAACAGGGAGATGGATAGAGCGCAATTTGTGTTACAGAAATACGCTTTTACCTAGTGCTACTATAGTTGAATATAAATGCAAAGATCCATGGCTGCGAATTCTGATCGGCGTAATAAGGGTCACATCATGACAGAAGCCGACAGTAGAAAGTTCCAGAAATGTTTAAAACAAACTGTAATTACATTAAGGATAATCAAATGTCACTTTATTTAATAAGTAATATGTCAGTACAAGAATTCGCGACTGACAGGCCGAAGTTACGAGCAGCTCAGCTACCGCAATAAAAACTCAAGGCCGACGGTAAAATAATACCTTGAGGCTACACTGTGATAGGCAGCAGCGAATGAAAATAAAGCCTCATTCGACCTCGACTATTCCTTAAATATCTCTGTTTTTTCTAACATAAAGATGGAAAAATGGGATAAACATGGAAACGACACACATTTGACAGTTAGCGACAATTTTTCATAGGAAATATTGTTCTAAGTTCAATTCTGAGTATAATCATTCTTCGTTTTACTTGACAAAACCTTGAGTTCCGAACTAGATAGACTACGAACAAAAGATAAAAGTCTTCCTACTGATACCGTCTGCGCTACGGTAAATCGTCTAGATACTATGCACTACGCGGAAAGGCCGCAAGACAGCAGCACGACTGTACAAAAATACACCGAATGGATCAATAAAAGAAAAACCGATAAGGAGAAAGTAAGCAAAACATAAAGAACACCAATAAATCGAGAATGGAAGTGCACACACGGCATACAGAGATATTATACATGACACGCCACCCACCCTGTAGGCGACAGAAATAACGCTGACAGTAGCGTTTTGACGATCAGGACCAGGATCGTCTGCAGTCGCAGGAGTG